CTCACCACCACTGCAGAACTCTGGCAGGTCATGCCATCTCTAGGGGCCTCAGTTTCCTCTGGGAGCAAATGGAAATATTAGCTGAGACTCATTGTTTTTCCAAATTATTTTACCTGTGGAACTCTTTCTTCAAATAATATGTTTGTAAAGCCATAATGCATCCCACAAGTGCAGGGCCTTGATTTCAAATCAGATCAGGGCTATGTTGGCTGCCCCCAGTGGCCCCCACCCCCATTCAGCCTTCCACCCACACTCCCATGAACATTGAAAAGGAGCTGGGAATATTGTGTGTAAACTGTCTCGACTACACAACTCTTTTTCAATTTTTCTGAAGTTCAGAGAAGTAACTAATGTTGCACAGAGCCACCCAGCTGGTACAGAGTGAATTTGCCATCCTAAGGCAGGTCTGTAACTCTGCCATGTAGCCCTGGGAACATCAACTTGCATACTCTGTCTTATCAGGCTAAAGCTGCTTAGGAGATATATTTACATTTTATCAGTCAGGGTTACCTAAGGCATGTCCTATATACCCTTAGGTTCCAGAAAAGCAGTTCCTGATTTTTTTTTTCCCCCAGATATTCTTTCCTTTTACTCTGGGGCTGTTGATTAGAGAGTGGTCTCTATTTAATCTGTGAGACTGTCAGAAAATTAAAAAAATAATAATAACTTTTCTCGTAAGTCAAAGGCTTCCATTTCTCTGGGGATGCAGAGCTGGCAGCCTTCTCTTCCCTATTCTTGTCCAGGCTGTGGAAGGGCCTTTGGGCTCAGCTGTTACGTTCATTTTTGTTATAAGAAGGCAAAACAATGTCAAATATGAGTAATGACCTGGGATGAAAAATTTGCTAAGATGGACACACAGGTCAGACAGGCCAGTGCAGATTCCTGAAAGTACCAGCTCTGCTTACAAGATGGATAGGTTGCCCTCTGCCTCAGCACTCGGCACCCCAGGGCACCCACTATCCTCTGGTCAGGGAAAAGAGGTCCACTGCAAGAAGTGTTGGAAGTAACTTGACTTCTACTTTTCAAATCATTCATGACATGATCCTAAGTTATATTGGCAGACTGGAAATGTGACCAGCTGCTGGTTCTGGCCTCTGGGGCCATGGCTGGCTGTGGCAGTCTACTGCCATTGGTTCCAGTGAGTTAAGCTGTTTCTGTGTTATTTATTCCTCAAGATCCCTTATTGACAAAAGGATTTTCTTTCTTTTTTTTTTTTTTTTTTTTTGTACAGATTGACTGTCTCTCTCTCTGATGCCAAATACCCCAGTCCCAATTTCAAAAATTTGATCTGTCTGCCTTCCTTCAACATATGCAGATTGAATATCTATCTATGCTTAGTATCGAGACACAGCTGTGAAGATGGCAGCTAAGTCCCTGCCTTTGTGAAACTTGTTGTATTGTAAGATTCAGGAGCTGGAAAATATGGTGACCTTTCACTGGCCTCACTGGCCAAACTTTTCAATGGCCAGTGAATCCCATATTGCAGCAATTTAGACTGAATACTTTCCTTTAGTTTCTCCTTTTAAGTTTCTAAAGTACTCGCTGCTAACACAGTGTGAGCCTGGAGATAAAACTTAAGCTCAAAGTACTCATTAGACATACCCTAGTGAGGGAGCTCTGCATTCTGACCACACTTGCTGTTAATTCTAATGCATTTCACTCAGGGCCAATGGAGGGCCTCTTCAGTTGGAACAACTTTCTTTTCCTTCCAGGTCGTATTAGGGCTTTTGTCTTCAAGGAGATTTTTGCCTGCTACTGTTTTACCCCAGGACGCTGGTAATAGGTCTATTTATTTATTTATTTATTTATTTATTTGGGTGGGAGGTTCTTTTTCTTTTCTTTTTTTTTCTTTCTTTCTTTCTTTCTTTTTTTTGTCTTTTCTTTTTTGGGACTAGGGATCCAACCTAGAACTTTGCAAGCATGAGGCAAGTGCTTTGCCGCTGAGCTACATCCCAGCCCTAGTATATCCTTTTTTAAATTTGACTTTTTAATATTCAAAAACACTATCAGGAGGCCTTAAGAAATCTTTCAATTATGGAGAAATTTATACAAAAGGGGACTGAACTGTATGATGAATCACTAACCCTTCATCCAGTTCCAGTTGCCCTCAAGCATGGCCAGTTCTCCTTGTCTATACTCCCATCCACTCCCTCTGCCCTGTGTAAAGAAATAAATATGTCATAAATATTTCAACATATTTCTCTCAAGATAGACTGTTTCTTAATATTATCACAATACTTTTATCTGCATCAGTTATTATTTGTCTTACAGAGAGATATTTTAAAGGCTGTAAGAGGAGAAACATTCAGGTATAATGTTGCCAAACATTAGCTCTTTTAATTTTTTCCTGTGTTCCCCAGTTTTTGACCACAAGCATACTGATGTTTTGTAAAACTGATGGATTGCCGTCTCTGCTTTTTTGGCACTTTTTTGGGTATACATTTTGTGATTGGGGCAAATGTCAACTATCCATCCCTCCAACTAAGAGGAACAAAAGTGTTCCCTTCAGCTGTACCGTATTTATATACTGAGGACGATTCCCCAGAACCTCTTCTATCTTTTAAAGCTTCCTACTTATTCAGAAAATATTGAAAATTGAAATAAAAATCATCAATTCAAAAATAACACTTTGATTTTTTGCCCCCCTTTCCCTACCCGCCAAAATTTGGATTACAAAAGAGTGTAAAGGAAAAGTGATGTTCTGAATTAAGAGGAAATTGTCATTGAAGGTTTGTATTGCATCTTTCTAGATGTTTTACACATAAGAGCACATATTCCTAAAACAAACAGCAGGAATGTGCCATTTACTATTTTTCACTAAATGCGTCTTCAGTATCATTCCGCGCACACAACTTTAGATCCAGGCCCTCTCAGGCAGAGTTCCATGGATCTGTTGTTACTGGTATTGTGTTTCCTGTCTTGGTGGTGACTCCCATGTCCCCTCCTGGAAGACAGAATCCAGCTACCTGAGTTTTCCTGCATGCTGGTCCACCTCTGAGCACCTCTGCTTTGTGCGACTGTATCTCACCAAAGCCTCAGGTTCTCATGAGCTTGTTTTTCAGGAACTGGGTGGAGCCTTTGACTGAAAGAACATGTTTTTATTTCCTGGTATGTGGGGATTTTCAGTAGAGCTTTTCCTCTTCCTAATTACGTGCCTAGTACATTGGGGATCTTAATGCTGACTCGCCATCCCACGGAGAACCATTAAACAGCTGCTCACCTGAATTTATGAACAAATTTTGGGGCAGCAGCAGTACCTGCAGGATCTAGGAGCCAGGGACACGTGTGCATTTACAAGGAGCAAGGACAGAGTGTACCAGACTCTCAGATCTTCTCCTAAGAATGTGCAGAGGTTGGGAAGTAGTGAATGTGTTTTCTCTCTTTTTATAAAACTTATTGTTAAAAAAAGAGAGAGAAATTATACAAATAATATGGAAGTATATAAAGAAGAAAAAAAAAAAGTAATCCTGCTCTCCAGTGTCCCTGTCCAGCCCCACTGTCCCCTCATCAGAGGTCAATAGTATTAATAATTTGTCATGTATCTTTCTTAGGCTTTTAAAAAATTTTACAAACTTTGAATGGGATCATAAAATCCTCATTGTTCTGACACAATAAATGATATTAAGTGCAAATTTTGGTTTTGTATGTCAAAAAATACATTGTAAAGATATGGAAAGAATCTATGTAAAGGTGGTTGAGGAGCTAGTGGGAGAGTGGGGTTGCCCTGATAGGTTTCCTGCCTCTGCTGGTGTCATGGTGGTAAGAGGATCAGCCCAGGAAAAATGAGAAGGAAGCTGTTTTTGTTTTTGTTTTGTACTGGGGATTGAATCCAGGGGTGCTTAACCACTGAGCCACATCCATCCCCCCACTTTTTTTTTCTTTGAGACAGAGTCTAGCTAAGTTACTTAGGGCCTCACTAAGTTTCTGAGGCTGCCTTTAAACTTGTGATCCTCCTGCCTCAGCTCCTGAGTCATTGGGATTACAGGTGTGCACCACCATGCTTGGTGAGGGGGCTATCTTATCAATGTAGTCCCAGTCCTTGGTCTGGGTTTCTTTCTTGCCTCTGTCCCTTCCATGTTGTAGAGGCCCCCACTCTGTCTCTCTAGATCTAGCAAACCCTACAGTACAAAGGGATGTACTTAATGTCAGACAAGATAGGCTTGAATTTACTTTTAAAGAACATAAGTTATTTGATCTCTCTCAATACCAGTTTTCTCAGCTAGGAATAAGAGGAAAATTGCTGTGACAGAGTGCTTATGAACGTTAATCTAGCAGATGGTCGGTACTCAGCCAACCTTAATTCTCCTTTTTCTTGCTTCCTGAGTCTTCTTCCATAAAGGTGTATTAAGACTTGGACATGTTATCCTTTCTTAAAGGAATTTGCATTTCAACAGTGATCAAAACTTTAACTGAAGGAATTAAGGATCCATCAGCAGGAGTAGGAAGATTCTTTTGGACTGGAGTCACATGGCCTGTGCTTGCCTTTTCAGAAATATTTCATGAATGATCACAGCAGGTTGTGTACTAACCCCACCTTTTTTTCTCAGAAGTTGGCTCCAAGGGTAAGCCCTACACTCGGAAGACAATTTGGCTGACTGATGACTGCTAACCTCAACCTCCTGCATTTTAGGCCATGTATTTAGTGATGCACCTAAGTCATAAAAGGAACTAGTGTCATAAGCGTGAGGTTTCAAATACTTGTTTGTGTCATGATCCGAGTTCTTCTGGCACCTTGTGAGAATTGAAAAAGGGCGCCCCCCTCTGGGAAGGCAGGGCTGTGCAGATGCACTCTGAGGTCAGTGGACAAGGGCCTCTATAGAAGTTAGCCAAAGGTATTCTTCCTCTAGGGTAGAGGGAGGCCCAGCCCAAGCTGGGAGCCCCACCCACCCCTCCTGCCAGGCTTGTAGCCTTGTGCACAATCTGCATTATCATACAGTGGGCCCATTATTATAGCCATTTTCATGAGTTGTTATTGTTTTTTTCTGTTTTCCTACTTTTAGCCTCCTGAAGTAAGCAATGGAGAACCTACCAGAAAACTTCCTCAGGGTGTTGTTTATGGTGTGGTGCGAAGATCCGATCCAAATCAGCAGAAAGAAATGGTGGTGTATGGGTGGTCCACCAATCAGCTGAAAGAAGAGATGAACTACATCAAAGATGTGAGCCACTGAAGGCTTTTTTGTTTTTCTGGTCTATTTTCCTTTTATAACATGTAAGAGGGCATTGGAAACATTGATGTGAATATAATAAGGCATTTTTAAAAAATTCATAGTGTTATTTTGAATGGAAATGTTTCTACATATCTTTGTGGTAATGTTAAAAGCACAGATGTCATTCTGCATGGGATAGATGTTACTAAATGAGGATCCTAGGAGACCCATCCATGGCTTCCTTTTTCCATATATGGTATGAAGACTCTTAAGAGCTTTTGTTTTTTACGTTGGACATGCCTAATGTATAAGTTTGGACAACTCCATGACTTTGGGTGTTTTAGAATATAAGTAAGAGAAAAGTCAACTCAGAAAGAAAATTGATCTCACATGGCAATGAGTCTGGAAGTAGCTGGACTCCGGGCTGGGCATGGCCAGGTGCTGGTTCTCCTTTTCTGTGTTCCATTGTTGTTTTCCTCTTCAGCCTTAGGCTTGGGACATCTTCTGAAAATATGACAGTATCCGGAGAAAGGAAAGAGGCCACTCACCTGGGATACCTTTTGTATCCCCCCCACCCCTCCACCTCCAGCCATTAGATTTCCCCTTTGTCTCATTCACTAGGGCTGGTCACATGCCTGATCCCAAAGCAATCCTGGCAAATGGACTAAGAGGACGTGGTGGGTTCAGACCAGTTATTTGAGTGAAATGAATGCTGGCAAATAAAGCATGGTAGACCATTGCCCAAACCAAGACAATCAATGCCATTTCTTTGAATGCTTTATTTCTTATCTTTTTTTAAGTTACAAATTCTTTCGAGAAAATTTGGGATATATGAAAATATATGAAGAAGAAAACAAAATCACTCATAATATTGCCAATTTAACCCACATAGTTGTAACATTTTGGAGCATTCTCTCATATTTTAATGTCTATCTCTGTTTCTTTTAGCCCCACCCAGTATCCCCCTAGATTGACTCGTGCTCCTATTGCCCAAACCACACTGATCAGATGAAAGAGGAAATGAGCTGCTCTAACACTGATGGGCCCCAAGCCCTGACCTGTGTGTGGCATGGAAAGTACTTGTGAGCAGCAAGGGCAACAGAGTGCAGGGGAGGCTCCTATGCCTGTGAATTCAGAGACCCTGCTTCCAGGTGGCCCAGCACATCACCTCTGCCTCTTTAGTCTTCTGTTTTCTCATGTGAAGGTTGTGAGGCTGTCCTTATTTCATTTAGTGGGTTTGCAGATGACATGCAAAGCCACTGTTTAAAAATTTTTTTCTTTTAGTTGTAGATGAACACCATGCATTTTATTTATTTATTTATGTTTATGCAGTGCTGAGAATCAAACACAGTACCTCATACATGCTAGACAAGTGCTCTACTACTGAGCTACAACCCTCACACAAGAACATGTATTATTGAATTTAAAAAATAATAAGTGCTTAGCAGAAAATGTGAGGAAAATCTAGAAAAGCAACACACACACACACACACACACTGTGTGTGTGTGTGTGTGTGTCAACCACCTGCCTCAAATTCCCAGTTATTCTACCCACCAAAGACAATTTTTAGCCATGTGGATTATTTCATTCCTATCTGTTGTTCTCCTCCTCCTCCTCCTCCTCCTCCTTTTTGTAGTGGTAGATGGACAGAATGCCTTTATTTTTTTTGTTTTTATGTGGTGCTAAGGATTGGACCCATTGCCTCACACATGTTAGGCAAGTGTTCTGCAACTGAGCTATAGCCTCTGCCCTCTTATGTGTTCTTAACATCTTGGGCATTCTAAGCCTCCTGTATTTTCCTGAAGGAAACACTTAGGTCTTTCCCATTTATATGCTCCAAATAACATACTATTGCTTTAGAGGAAAGCCTTTTAAGCAAGGTTGCAAGTCTCAAATTGCCCAAGACAAAGACAGCAGGTTCAGGCTGATCCTTACCTGTGGGTGACACGTGCCAGAGTTGCAGGGCTGGCTCTGACCTGGAATTACCAGCCTCCACTGTGATCTGCAATGTAATGTTAATTTCCAGTCTCACATTCAAATCCATCTCTGGCCTTGTCACTCCTGTGTATGTTTATGGGTTTGTTTACTCTCTCCCTGGTGAGCATGCTGGCTGTGTTGGCTTCCTCTGGTATTCTTTAGTGACAGAGACACCCAGCTCAAGATTTCACCACTCACCACAAGTGACAGTACGCAAGGCAGCTCAGGGCCACAAATGACAGTTGTTCCATCTGCCCACAGTAGAAAGTCATGCTTTTGGCCTAATTTTCCCAAATTGTTTATAGTTAATAGCAAGAAAGTAGACCCTGTTATTAGCATTCATGGGGGAAGACTTGGGGTCTTTCCTCCTTTCTGCCCCTAACTCACCACCAACCTACAGTGTAATTAAAATGCTGTGCTTCCTATTGGTTTTCTGAGGAGCTGCACACTATTCTCCATGATGCCTGTGCTAACTTACTAACTACCTTCTCCAAAACAGTGTACACTAGTCCTTTTCTCCATGTCCTGTCCAGTATTTGTTGTTGTTTTTCATAACAATCATTCTACTAGGGGGAGTCTGGCTGTGGCTCTTAGCAGAGATGGAATATTATTATACTTTCTATGTGCGTTTCCCTGGTGGTTAATGATACTGAATAATCTTTCATAGCAAATGTGCTGCTATGCAAACCCACCTTCAAAATTAAGCCTCCCAATTCTGTCCCTACACATGCACATTCTAGTGAGACCTGTTGCCTGTGAATCCTTCCTACGGTAGATATTCTAGAGTGAGCCTGGAGGAAGATCCTTGAGACTTCCTGTCCTGTTTGAGGATTCCTGAGCACTTCGTCCATCTACAGGCATCAGAAGAAAGAAGGAAGCAGTGTCTGTTTGTGAGGTTTATTGTTTTGTTTAAAAATGTTTAAGGCCCTGGAACTCTTCTGACAGTCACTACCGAGAACCTCAAATAGTGTTTCTGTGAATAGTGTTTGGGGGCCCTCTTCAACCTCTCTTAGACCTGGTGCCTCATGGATTATTGGTGATTATTGAGGAACCTACTTTGGATTTTATGGACCATTCAGCTATGTTTTCCTGTCTTCCATCTTCCATTAATTGCTTTTTGGCAATCAGAGCAGAAATAGGGAAAAATAGAGGTTCATGTTTGCCTTTTGGTTCTTTGGTCCTCTTAGCTGTACATTTACAGAATAAACTGTTGCAAAAAAACAAAAAACTTTCTACTCATAAAAATATGTATGTGATGGGAAAAGTCAGACCTTGCCCAAATGTAGTAGGTAGGTGATTGGTGAATTTCTAAAAACCATGTTTTCTTTTAGATTATTATTTGGATATTAATATTTCTTAAGCATTATGTTATATATAAAATTTGGATTATTCTCTTATTTTCTAACCAGGTTTTGGATCATCCTCTCTAATTCACTAGATGTCCTGTACTTGAAATTATTATTATTATTATTATTATTATTATTATTTTAAATGGAGCCCTTTATTCATTAGTGAAGTTTTGGATATCTTGCATGAAAATGTAAAAATGCTTGATGTTTAACATTTTTTGGGCTGCAGGTGAGAGCCACTTTGGAAAAAGTAAGGAAGCGGATGTATGGAGACTATGATGAGATGAAACAGAAGATTCGCCAGCTCACCCAAGAGCTATCAGTAAGTCCATATCTCAAGTCATGGCTGTTCTAAGGGATGGTGGAGGTTTCTCTCAGCAGCTGATCCCCAAAGATACTTGAGTATACAATGTTATTGGTTTTTAATGGAGCCACATTCTAAACAAACTGAGGGAATTTTATCACAACTTAGATTTTATTATTTAAAGGAAACTTTTGTGGCAAGGGTAATCTTTATATTTGAAGCATTCCCATTGAAGTCTATTCCTAATATTCCTAAAAATTTATTCCACAGATAAACTCTGATATGTGTGAGAAATGACTTACGGATGAGCTTATTTATTGCAACACTGCTGTAAAAGTAAATGATTGGAAACTTAAACATTCATTAAGAAGAGGAAAGTAGGGCTGGGGGATGTGGCTCAGTGGTAAAGTGCTTGCTTGGCATGCATGAGGCCCTGGGTTTAAATCCCCAAGTGCGCGCGAAATCCCCAAGTGTGTGTGTGCGCGCGCACGCGTGCACACACACAAATATTGTATAAGAAGAGGAATATTGTATAAGAAGAGGAAAGTAATATATTATCTATCTCCAACAGAAGACATATAGCTGTAAAAGAAAAAAAGGAGTAACTAAACCCTTTGAAAAGAGATAGGGAAGGCCTTCAAGGATGAAGGGTCCATGATGAAAAATGTAGAAAAAAATCTGCATAACAAAATATCCTGTTTTATATAAAACAGGATGGAAGAATACAAACATCAAGATTGTTTTCTATATGCACAAAAGTGACTAAAAGATAATCCAGAAAGTGATTATTCACAATGGCTGCTAACTGGAGGGCAGAGGAGGGCATGGGGGTAACCTGGCAGATGTGACAGGAGTGAAAGGGGGATTTGTTTCAGTGTGTGCCTTGTATACTTTTTGTGCACCGTGCTAATCTATTACCTACTCAAAAATTTAAGAAAATAAGCTTCCTCTAGTTAAACCAAGCTAATGCTTGTGGGATATAGAGTATTTGTTATTAATAATCCCAAAGATAGGAGTCTGTGTACACATGTGACATCCCTTCCGTGAGAGTCAACATCTGCAGGAAAGAGGACAGTTGCTACAGCTGTGCCTGAGTTTAGTTCCTGGCTGGGCTGTGGGGTTTCCTGCTCACGTAGGCCCTCTGGCCTTGATTATAGTCATAGGGCTATGTAAACATACCCACTGGCCCATTTTTACTGGCCTGGAGGAGGGGATGTGTGACATTCTCACCTAATTATGGAAATTCACTCTGTCATCCCCTGACAGACACTAATGACTATCCTCAAAGCCAAAGGATTGAATTTGCAATAATAGTGTAAACAAGACCTGCCCATTGCTTCCCATCATCATTTCTTGCACATGCTCATTTTCTCACTATAGAATTGTCCCAGGAGCCCTACCTCCCTGCCCACAGTGTCTCTCCAACTACATCCTGCAGCCAGATTAGGATTGCTAAATTATTATCATACAAGCATGCCCCTGGACAAGAGCCTACCACATGCTCAAGTCCTGGCTTCCTGTTTCAGCTGTCTCTCTCCCACCCAGCAGGGTGCACCTGCTGTGCTAGGCTGTTTCCCGTGACCCCCCACATTCATACAAGGTCCACTCCTGAGCCTTGCTGAAAATGCCTGTCCCTAGTCCTACTGCCTGCTCGCCTCTCTGCCCAGCCCTTGGTGATGTCTAACTCGAGACTGGCCTATGATGAAACTTCCTCAAACTCATTAAACACACACACACCCAACAGAGACAGCAACAAAACAACCCTTGAGAATTGGGTGAACCCAAAATGTGTTCTGTCAGTGGTGAGGGGAGAGGGCAAGATGGCCAAAGTCATCCCAATTGGGTTCTCCTAGCTATGATGCTTTTTAGCTGTTTGACTCTAAGCAACTCATTAACGCCCATCTCCCATTCTGCTTCTTCCCGTAGTAAAGGGCAGTGACTGACTCCTGCACAGTGACCATGAGGTCTCAGTGAGGCGCTGTAGGTGGACCTGTACATACCACCCTAAGGAGAAGTCCTGCATTTCTACTCTCGGGGTCACACCAATGTTGACTTTTCATCTACAGCTTTACTGTAGATAACTGTTGAAGTGGATGTGGTTACTCTCAGAAGAAAGTTCCAGCCTCACTGAAGGTGGCTGTGGGTGTGTACGGATTGGTTTTGAGTGGTTGTTTCCTCCATCTCTCCAGGTTTCCCATGCTCAGCAGGACTATCTAGAGAGTCACATCCAGACCCAGTCGTCAGCCCTGGATAGTTTTAATGCTATGAACTCGGCTTTGGCATCGGACTCCATTGGCCTGCAGGTACTCATCGGCTTCTTGCTACATGGCTCCTCCTGTCATAGGGCAGCTGAGCTTAACTCAGGAGAGGGGCCTATTCTTTTGTAGTAAAGTCACAGAAAGCCCCAAGCTCATGATTCAGAGTCCTCTAAGCACAACTACAGCAAACACTTGTGCCAAGGAGTTGCTGAAGCAAGTGGAAGGAAACTTTTCCAAGCTGAGACCCTAACCCTTTGCTTTATCCTCTGTAAAATATGGCTTTGGTTTCTGAGTCCAGTGCTAGAGCTGTCATTTGCTCCAACAGATAACTCAGTAGTCCTCAGTGTCTGTGCCAGACCCAAAACATCAATGACCTTCCTCCCATAACCCTGATGGTTCAGGAAATTCCACCCAATCATAGAGAAGACAGACTTAACCAAAAACAGTCTATACTTTCATGACCAAAAGCTCCCAAAAGCTGCTAGACACTTTTTCTTAATTTAGAAATCATTTTGCAATAGAAAGAGTCCTGTGTATCGCAAAGAATGTCTTATGTAGAGATAGAGAAAGACCCAGTATCCGATATTTGTAAAACTGTGTGTGGTCTGTTCATTTCAAGGGATCATTCTCTTGATTAATTTGATTTCTTAAGAGCCAGCCATTCACTGCTTCCCATTCTTACTCTTCTAGCCATGTAGTCCCCTACCTAACATGGGGGTTATTTTAAAGATGTTCAAAACAAAGCACTATATTCGCTTGAAATAGCTTCCCTGGGCCAACTTTCCAAAGACATAAAATATTAGTTTTTGCTCTCCTCCAGTTTCACAGGACTATTTTTATGCTCTTCTTAAAAGTTCCATAGACTATTCCAAGTATCTTACTTTATAAATAATTTAGTGGATAAGCAAACAGATTTTTATGTTGGGCCTCTCTACTTCCCCCAGGACCTAGTGTTCTCTAATAACGGCTCTATCAGCATGTGGCAGTAGTGTCAGCAGCAGCTGGCCGCTGTCCCGCTGTGGCCCTGGGTGGGTCTTGTGTTTGGGTTTGTCTGGGATGCCCATTTCTGGCGGGGCCTTTGAGTTCCCTGCTTTTCCTGGCTCTCTTTTGTATATGCCAGTTTCCCCTGGCCCCAGGCCCAGTCCCAGTCCCACTTTGGCTCTGATTTATTCAGGAGCCTTTGTTTTCCCTTCCTCTTGTCACTAAGGGGTCTTGCCAAGGCTCCCTTTCCTTCCCTCCTGGATGCCACCTCACCCAGCCCACCATCTCACCCAGCCCACCAGGAAGAGTTTAGACTTTGTTGGTAGCTGTACTTTGTTTCTATTTTTTTGTTTTGTTTTAATTTTTTTTGCCAGAAAATATTTTTTTCCAGGTGATTTTCAAATGCTTCTGATGTGCCCCTTACCAGCCTTCCAGAAATGTATCCCCAGAGGTCAGCTGTTAGGACAAGTGCAGCCTTAACCCAGGGGTCCTGACTGACCCCTAGTTATTGTCCAGTCTCTTGGTCCTGAGCATTCAGAGAATTTTATAACTAATAGATTAAACCAGTATTTGAATCCTAAGGTTATTGGTTTCTTATTTATGCAAGATCTCAGCTTATTCCACTTGAAGGTTCTACCCACATTCATTGTTATTGACAGGAAAACCAGACCCTTGGTTTGATTTCATAGACTATCAGTGCTGGAAAGAACTCTTGAGAGGATGTCCATTCCCTTTGTTTTATGGATGAACTGAGGCCAACAGAGAGAAATTATGTGAACAAGGTGTCTAGCTAGTGGCAGAATGAGAATTAGAAGAATCCTGGTCTTCTGATCTGGACTGTGAGTTTCATATGGACACAAGAATAGTATCTGTAGAGCCAGAGGGGTTTGGAGATGGGGGTTGGACTAGGTGCCTTCTAAAGCCCTTTAAAGCTCACATGTTCTGTGAGTCCCTGCTACTAAATGGCCGCAGTATGTCCTTTAATATCTAATTACCTCCATCAACAATTCTTTTTCCTGACTCAAGTAAGATTTGGATGAGATACTTTTTATTGTCCAAAGTGGAGGCTGAGGAAACTTCAGAAGATGATTTTACAAAGAGGACAGAGGTGTTAGGAACAGTCCAGCACCAATTTCTAAATCTCCTAAAGATGTGGATGACTGGGGGAGGTGGTAGAAGGTGCCCGGAACCCAGTGTTCAATGGTGGGGATTCTAGAGTGTATGGAAGCCATTTCTCTCTAAGGAGGGTTAGCCAAGAGAAACTGAAGCAATAAATAGTCACACTATTAATTTGAACATTTTTGCCCCAGTGGGTGGCCTAAAGCAATAATCATTAGGCTCTTGACACTTGCCAGGCACTTGTCTAAGTTAGTAACCTCTGTTCCTTCCTCTGTAGTTCTTTATCACCACCCTTCTCTGCCTAAGAGAGGAAGGTGATGCACTTGGGGGAGAGGTAGAAGCTGAGGGGGGAGCGGAGTAGGGGGAGGCATCAGAGTTGTGTCAGCCACGTTGTTAACATCCCTGTGGGCAGTGATGGGAGTACTGAAGTGAGGGCGCTTTTAAGAAAGAGGG